GCTAGTTATTCTTATAATTAAAGGGCTAGTTATTCTTATAATTAAAGGGCTAGTTACTTTCTAAAATACTTATAGTTATATACAGCGTTTCTATAAACTTCTAATCTTTACCTAAGGTATTAGAGACGTACTTAGAAGAGAAAGTGCTAAACCTTATATCTAAGGTTAAATATATAAAATATATACTTAGATAGTAATTCTAGAGAGGTTATAATAACCTATATATTATTAAAGCGCGTTTAGTAAATATAGAGGAGATATAGCCTATATTACTTATCTATATTACGTAGGTTTAAAATATACGTAGTAGGTTTATAAAGAAGCTTATTTTCTACTATATTATACTATAATACAGTAGTAGTATATAAGGTATAGCTTACCTTGTTAATATCTTGTTATAAGGTATTTACTAAGTAACTATATATTCTATAGCCTATTTTACTTAGAAAGAGTGTATTTATTAATAATAAAATAAGACGTGCGTATTACGTTCTTAACTTAATAATAAACGTAGGCTATACTAATAAGATCTATAATCTTATTAATAGTTATCTATTATATAGTATTATTTTCTTTATCTATCTTATAGAGATATAGTAGCTAGCTATTAACTAACTCTAGTAGCTGTACCTTCTAGTATCTAACTATACCTACCTACTTAAAACTATTATATAGGTCTTTAAATAACATAATAACTATACTAAATAATAACTATATTAATTACATATAGATGTTTAGTAATAGGTCTATATAGTATATAATAAATACTATACTGTATAAGTTATTACCTTAGCTGTAAAAGGAGATTATACTAAGTTTTAATCTATTTAGGAGAATATAATTCTAAAATATTACTATATCTTATAGCAAGGTTCTAGTATACTAAGTAGCGTTAACGTCTTTTATCTTATTTAGCTCCTATTACTATTAAGGATCTATAGGTATACTTATCTTATCTATAAGGTTATATACGTTATCTTAGAGATTACTATTATCTTAATATACTATATTATTATCTCTAATAAGGTCTATATGCTTATCTCTACTCTACCTTATATAAATATATTATTTCTAAATAAGCGTATTAATTTCTGTACTTCTATACTTATAACTAGTAGACGTAGCAAACCTCTTTACTATATAGAGAAATTACTTAAGTAACTATTAGGCGTAGTAAGACAGAAGACTAAAATCTTATATATTCTGCCTAAAGTAAAGTAGGTAATAATACTAGACAGTATATAATAGTAGTAGGTCTAGATCTTCTTAATAATATAGATCCTTATACTTATATATAAACACCTATACCTATTCTTTAACCTTATTAATATTATATTTTATAAATTTACGTTAGCTAGTGTATTAAAGAAGTTAGTAGTATTATAGAAAGTTATTAG